AGCCCTGTGTAAGGGTCGAGTGCAAACGTTTTCGTTAAAACTAGTACCTGAGTGCAACGGAAGTTGAAGCTCCTGTGGCGGAGTCTTCCAGAGCCTGGAGGCGAGCATCGATAGCTATCATGGAGCTAGCCAGGGATTGCAGGGAGCCGGCCGCGCTACTCTCCATAGGGGTGTGTGACGCTCCCGGACTGGCGAGCCTGAGAAGGGGTGGATTTTTTTTAAAAAAATTTTTGGAGGGGGACGGGATCCTGGAGGGCTCGACTTCCTGCCCTTTTTTACCTCCGCGGCTGCGTCCTCGTCCTGCTCTCTGGGAAGCTGGCTGGAGCTGCTGCCCCGGACTGGGGAGCTACGCTGGAGACCTGGTCCGAGAGCTATCGCCGCTGAGAGAGTGAGGCCTGGGGCTGTGGGAAAGCCCTGCTGCAGGAGCCGGGCGATGAGGAAGTCTTCCTCTGTTGATAAGCCGCTGTGGGGAGCCGAACCGGGATCGGAGATTTCCAGAGAAGGTTCGTGTTCCGAATTGTCCGAGTTGGACATCTTGAGCTAGTTGTTTCTTACGGTTTTTTCTCACGAGAAGCAGTATTGTATTGCAACTACCATTGCGTGTGATCATCTGCAATGACAACTGACAGGGAGGAAGAGCAGGTATTTAAGGCATTTAGCATGTGCAGCGATTGGCTGCTGAGGCGTGACGCCCTCATATTTAATGAGGGGGAAGGGAGCCATAGAGTGACGTGTGAGTGACTCGAGTTAGGTCTTCCTTATTGAACTTGCGCTAAAGCTTTCATATCTATCTATCTAAATGAAAGCTTTAGCGCAAGTTCAATAAGGAAGACCTAACATGAGTCACTTACACGTCACTCTATTGCTCCCTTCCCCCCTCATTAAATACGAGGGCGTCACCCTTCAGCAGCCAATTGCTGCACAGGCTAAATTCCTTAAATACCTGCTCTTCCTCCCTGTCAGTTGTCATTTCAGGTGACTACACACAACCCGCCTCCACCCCTCTCGCCTCCCGTCTCCTCCAGGACAAAGCTAAACTTCCTTCTTCAGACCGGTCCCACCTACTTATCACCACCACCAGTGTCTAGACCCCGGGGATTTCATCGGAGCGGTTCTTTCCCTCCTGAATGATTATCCTGCAAACCGGGGCCTAATCGCCAAACACCATTCCATTCTCCTTTTGTATTATCATGGCAATCATTTCATTCATATGACGTGTAAACAATAAATATGTATTCCTTACATCACGTCTCTCCGGTTTGAACTATATCTATCTATCTATCTTTCTATCTATCTATCTATCTATATCTATATATCTATCTTTCTATCTATCTAACTATATCTATCTATCTATCTTTCTATCTATCTATCTATCTATCTATCTATCTATCTTTCTATCTATCTATCTATCTATCTATCTATCTATCTATCTATCTATCTATCTATCTATCTATCTATCTATCTATCTATCTTTCTATCCATATATCTATCTATCTATCTTTCTATCCATCTATCTATCTATCTATCTATCTATCTATCTATCTATCTATCTATCTATCTATCTATCTATCTATCTATCTATCTATCTATCTATCTATCTATCTATCTATCTATCTATCTATCTATCTATCTATCTATCTATCTATCTATCTATCTATCTATCTATCTAAGTATACATATGCAATATGCATGCATGAATTTGTGTTTGTTTGTGTGCCTTAACTATTTGACCTGTAGAAGTAGGCTATCCAATAATTATCATTGAGTAGGCATACATCCTCTTTGAACATCCATCTTCTTTATTGAGAGTTATTGTCACGTTACACATCCTATTGCTCTAATAAGTGCCCATTATAATCTTTGCCCCTGGCTTTTTAGTAATCTTCACACAACTGGTTCAAAGAAGATTAAAGGTCAGTGTTCCTAATCGAGCTATGATTCGACCCAATGATTTTATTTTTCTCCTGATTTTTTTTTGTGGACATATTTTGTAGCAATGTTTATTATGGAGTACTGTGGACTATTTCCCGACTATAAACTAAATCAAACAGCTTTGTATCAAGGGACATAGCCTACTGGGACACTCACATCATTTTTGCAGGAGTAAAGAAGGCATTTTTTCATTACAGGGCACCTTCTGCTCACATGATTCAACCCAATGATTGCATTTTTATTATAAATCATCATTCAAGTTTTTTTTTCATATATCTGAGTTTACCTTTACCCGTAGGTCTGTAGGGGTCGAAGTGCACAAATCAGCAAACACAAACCTGGACCATCACAGGTACAGATATGATAAATGTGATATGATAAATGTTTATTTATTGTCTTAGGTGTTTCGTAATTAAATCTTATCTCTGTTCCAGTTTTGGGGACGAAGGGGCTATGGATAATTCAGGCAACCTGTCTGGGAATGAAGATGTGATTTCACTCTCAGACATCGTCCCTGAGACAAACATCTGCTTTGTAAGTCTAAAAAATTGCATTATACTTGGTAATAAAAGATTTTTTATAATTGTATCGTTCCTCGACGCTCCTCATTACCTGCATGGACTGATATTTAGTAGTGTGGTGGTGATGGTGGTGATGTTTTCATGTCTGATTTTAAAGGATTAAACATATTTTCTAAATCTTGGTCCCTTTCTTCATTATCATACTACATGTTCATAGTTGCTTTTGAAAATAGTGTATGCAAAAAAAAGAGAAAAGAGCACTGCCATCATGTAATTATCTGAAGATACTTTAATCTTCTTGAGAGAATCAAACATTTGTTTTACTTGTGATTTATTCACAGTTATACATCATGTTACATAACTTCAGATGCCAGTTCCATCAAAACCTGCCCTTTGACTTGAAAGTCCAGGGCTTTCCAGCTGAACACATTGCCTGGGCTGAAGTGCTTATCTTCCATATAGCGTCTGATCTCACAGGTGGGGATGACAGTGTCCCACATGTGGAAGTCAGTAATCATACCTATGAATGATTGCTTTGCATCGAAGCCTCCGCCATAGGTGTCCTGCTCTTGGCCCAGGATGGCAATGGGAGCTCCAATGATGGCCCCAGTTTGGACAAATTTCTTGGTGGTCGCCTTGCCGTCCACCCACAGCTGAGCCAACCCAGTGGAGGATTCCCAGGTAGCACACATAGAGTGCCAGGTGTTGGCATCAAGTTTCAGTGACGTGAAGACTGCATTCCCATCCCGAGCATTCAGCTCGATGTCACTCTCTGCATTATTCTTGAAGATCAAAAAGTCATTGTTGAATGTGGGTGTAGCCAAAGAGAAGATTCCATATGTCCTGCTGAGATCTGATTGATATCTGAAAAGATGTGTAGGCATTGAGAAAATCTGACAAACCATTCTTCAAACTTAACCACAAATAATGAAGCTTTCTGATTACAACACCAGTTACCTGAGACAGGTGGTCACAGAGTTGAATCTGGTTTTAGGTGTGATGAGTACTACACGATCAGTGTTGGTCTCCTTTGGAAAGACAAACACTTTACCTGAAAGATCTGCACAGGTGGAAAACAAAATTATTTTTAGGGAAGGAGAGCAAACTAAATATCATTAACTAAAATGTTTAGAAACAAAAGTATTAAAGCTATCATATTCAAATGCTTCTCCATAGATAAACTTCTCCGCAATGCTGTCGGTCGAAGTTTACAAACCTTGGGGTGCTGCACAACATGTTCCAAAGATCACCATCAAAAGTATGAGTTTCTCCATCTGAGATTTCAACAAGTCAATGTTTTAGTATCAATGAAAATAATTAATCACCATTATCTGCGAGATCTGAGCAAGAACATTTAGACATATTTACCAACTAAAACAGGTTATTTTAAATTCTGACATCAAATCTAAGGATTAAATAGTTAATGACACATAAATAATAAATGACCCAACTTGATTAATTAAATTAATTGAAAACTATACGTTTTTTTTACCTTCTGGCTTGACTGTGTAAGCTTCTTGTCCGTGACTACCCCGTTTCAGGATGTCTCTCCTGCTTTTATTCTTCAGACATGATGTTGAGCAATGTTTACTATGAAGGACTGTGAACTATTTCCTAACCACAAAGTAAATCAAACTGAAAGGACATACCAGGACACTTGCATTTTTTTTTTTCATTACAGGGCACCTTATGCTCACATGTGCAACCCTTTATAAGTATTTGTATTTAAACTTGTATATTTTCCACATGTGTATATCTTTTTTATATTTTATAAACTAAACCTTAACTTTTTTTAATTGTTTCTATTTCTGAAATATTTTTGGACTGTTTATTTCTTGTGTCTTAATTTCTCTTATTGCCTTGTGTTTTTTATGCTGCTGCAACGCAAACATTTCCCAAATTGGGATCAATAAAGTATCTATCTATCTATCTATCTATCTATCTATCTATCTATCTATCTATCTATCTATCTATCTATCTATCTATCTATCTATCTATCTATCTATCTATCTATCTATCTATCTATCTATCTATCTATCTATCTATCTATCTATCTATCTATCTATCTATCTATCATAATGCAATATGCATGCATGAATTTGTGTTTGTTTGTGTGCCTTAACTATTTGACAGTGCCCCTGTAGAAGTAGGCTATCCAATAATTATCATTGAGTAGGCATACATTCTCTTTGAACATCCATCTGCTTTATTGAGAGTTCTTGTCACGTTACACATCCTATTGCAGCAGCATAAAAAACACAAGGCAGTGCCCATTTTAATCTTCACACAACTGGTTCAAAGAAGATTAAAGGTCAGTGTTCCTAATCGAGCTATGATTCGACCCAATGATTTTATTTTTCTCCTGATTTTTTTTTGGACATATTTTGTAGCAATGTTTATTATGGAGTAGCCTACTGTGGACTATTTCCCAACTATAAACTAAATCAAACAGCTTTTTATCAAGGGACATAGCCTACTGGGACACTCACATCATTTTTGCAGGAGTAAAGAAGGCATTTTTTCATTACAGGGCACCTTCTGCTCACATGATTCAACCCAATGATTGCATTTTTATTATAAATCATCATTCAAGTTGTTTTTTTCATACGAAAAAACACCATTACCCATAAACCCACCCGATGACGTCGTAAACCACAGACTTCAAGATGGTGCTTGAAAGTACTATGGTCTGGTAAGAAATTATAAATATGTTTTGAGTTAAATATTAAGACTGCTAACTTTATTTAAAAAAACGGTCGTTAACTAAATAAGCATGTTTTGATATAGTTTGCCTGAACTGTACAGGTTTGCTTGTTTTGTTTATGATTTAAGATGCTTAAGCTATTTCCTGAGTCACTATAACCTAGCCAACGTTAGCCAGTTGCAGCTTCCAGCACACAATCTACGTTATTTGACAAAAACGAGAAACAAATGGAGTGTCGCTAACTCAGGTTGATGTGACTCAACTGTAAAGTAAATAGTGTGCTTCAAATTAAATAACATGGCTTTAAAGCGTTAGCATTAGCTAGCTAACAACAATACAACCTACTGTCTTGGTCATAACATGCATCGCTCTGTTGTTTCAGTTTATTTGTCCAACCATGCTGCCGTGTTATCCAGTTATCATAAATACATTCTGTCTGTCAATGTTGCATGCAGTTAAAGGCAAGACACAACATGAAATACCTTGTTTTATTAAACAATGTCAATAAAACGTTTCATAGGCAGCAGTACTGCAGAGCTTTTTGCATTGATTTCCATTAAATTAAATGACCCGTTGTGTTCACTCGGGCTATAACAATAAAAGTATCCTTCATTTTTTAATATAATGTTGTTTTCTTCTCTTTAAATTCCAAAAAAGTGACAATCATATTTCCCCAAATAATGTGTTCACAATGCTTGTCTTTGTCCAACATTAATCCAAGACTCTCAAATGTACAACGTAAAGCTGCAAATCCTCACTTTTAGAGAAGCTGAAACTCTGGCTGAAACTATTGAATGGTTGTCATTTTCTGTTTTGCTAAATTAATTCATTGAAAACTGCTATTATAACGAACTGTTTCAGTGTCTGCCCCTTAAAACACTTAAACAGTGTTCTTTTTAGAGTCTTGTCGTTCTATTAATTGTGGTCTGTAATGTACAAATATTTGTCAAATCAATGGAATATCTTTAATAATGCTGCTTTTTTCTTTTCTTTTTTAGTGTGGACAACAGTGAGTATATGCGCAATGGAGACTTTCTGCCCACCAGACTACAGGCCCAGCAGGATGCAGTTAATATGGTTTGTCACTCTAAGACTCGCACCAACCCTGAAAACAACGTGGGCCTCATCACCATGGCAAAGTAAGAGGCACTGTGTTTTAAAATGAGCTTAGTGACATTAACATATGTAACTGTGAAATTAATTACAAAAGTGTTATTTCCCCATTCAGCAACTGTGAGGTGCTGACTACGCTGACACCAGACACAGGCAGGATACTGTCAAAGCTACATGCTGTGCAGCCTATCGGGAACATTAGCTTCTGCACCGGCATCAGGGTGGCACATGTGAGTTTGTGAACTTCATAACACACACTGCGTTCATCCTGAACCGAAAAAGTAGCTAAAAAAGATGTGCAAGGTGACATTTAGGAATATATGTATACATATAATGCAACCATCATTATGTAATAACACCTGTGCTTTTCTTGCATCAAATGGAAACATTTCTGTGTTGAAAAATATATGTTACAGTTAATGTTTTGAATGGTTCTCTCTTTAGTTGGCGCTGAAGCACAGACAGGGCAAAAACCACAAGATGCGCATTATTGCTTTTGTTGGCAGCCCGGTGGAGGACAATGACAAAGATGTGAGCGGCATTCTGACATTAGTCAACATGTTACGCATGCTTTGATACTGACAACCAGGCAGAAGACTTTTACAGAATGTGTATCTGTCACTTACGTATTTTTATTTTCTTGTAGATGGTCAAAATGGCAAAGCGTCTAAAGAAGGAAAAGGTCAATGTGGATATCATTAACTTTGGAGAGGAGGTATTTTTCCATTCATATTTGACCCACACTCAATCATAATATAATGTGCTGTATTGTTCTTGCTTTCTCTGATACCTTGTCTAGTCCTCATGCTAACTTTCTTCTTTTCTCACCGATGTAGGAGATGAACACAGAGAAGCTGACGTCCTTCATAAACACACTGAATGGCAAAGAGGGAGCCGGCTCCCACCTGGTCACAGTGCCTCCAGGGCCCAGTCTGGCTGATGCCCTGCTGTCCTCACCCATCCTGGCTGGAGAGGGGGGGGCTGCCTTGGGCCTGGGCGCCGGAGACTTTGAGTATGGAGTGGATCCCAGTGCAGACCCGGAGCTGGCCTTGGTAAGAGAGCAGGGAAAGATGCTGTTGTGTTTATTGTAATCCAAACTCTTCTTGCATTTTGTGTCTAAAATCCTTAGGACTAGTCATCCCTTTTGCTGCCTTCAACACCAACATTTAGTTCTGTCTTCATTGTATATTTGTGTGTTGTAATGCTACTTGTTTTGTATTAGACTGTTTCTTCCTCTCTTATCGTCAGGCTTTGAGGGTGTCTATGGAGGAGCAGAGACAACGACAGGAGGATGAAGCTCGCAGAGTCGCTGTCGCATCCGCTGCTGAAGCTGGCATTGCCTCTCCTGCTGCTGATGGTGTGAACATTCTGCCAATATTACTTCAGAAGAGACATTTTACCCCGAGCGGGAGTGTGTTCACACAGTGTGTTTTCCCCTCTTTCTGTTCCAGAGTCTGAGGATGCCCTGTTGAAAATGTCTGTTCCCCAAACAGAATCATCCACACCAGCTATCCCAGACTTCAGCCGCATGACAGAGGACGAACAGATCGCCTACGCTCTGCAGATGTCCATGCAGGGAGAAGGAGCAGGTTAATCATAGATTTCTAGTTTTCCCTAAAACAAGCTGAGACTTAGTACGCATCACATCCACAATATAATACAATGTTTAAGGCAGTTTGGAGGAAGAATCAGTTGTTGTAGCTGGTGTCCTGTATATATTTTACATGTATACTTTGTATTTTCTTATCTAAAATAAGCCACAACCAAACTTAAATAAATATTACCTTGACTTGCTGACATTACAGTGATTGGTTTGTCTGTAGTGGCCCTGGCCAGGTGGATACTTTGGAGCCTAGAAAAACATATCCACATATTTTAAATGTGATAAATGACTCAACAAAAATTGGCTAAAACAGTTTGTACTGGTCTTGGTCCACATTTACAAATGTGAATGCAATGTGTGTACTCAATGAAGCATTACAGAACAAACATGCAATACTTTGAGTTATAACTAGATATTAGACGCAGTTTGAAATGTTCCAATTTTTGCATTGCAGTTCATTAAAAAGCCCAGACCAAAAATGACCGCAACATTTCTGTTTCATTTATCTTGCAGAGTTTGGTGCTGAGGACATGGACACAGGAGCTGACATGGACTCCAGTAAGGCTACGGTAAGGACAAGTCTTTGTTTATTCTCATTTGTCATTTTCATCAGTTGGAAGTGTGTGATAACAGATAAATGTGTAATTTTCTGTGTCCAGGATGAAGAGCACTACGATGTGATGCAGGATCCTGAGTTCCTTCAGAGCGTCCTGGAAAACCTTCCTGGCGTAGACCCTAATAACGAGGCCATCCGAAACGCCATGGGCTCTCTGGCATCTCAGACAGGCTCCAAATCTGACACCAAGAAGGATGGGAAAAAGAAGAAATGAACATCCAAAGAGACAACCTTAATATATATAAAAAAAACAGAACATTGCACGGCATGTGTCATTACCAGTACTCTCCTCAGTACAGGAACCATTTAGTTAAATTTCTGTTTATATAGCTCTGTTAACTGTACAAATATTCGCCTTTTTTCAACTTTAAGTTAAAGGACTGCTGTGATTTCATTGTTTTGTGTCAAGCAGATATGCTTACTTTTGAATATTTTGTAATATAAGCACTGAGTAAATGAGCAGATTTCCTCAATAAATGTACAGAATACAATGGGGCATTTCATCTGATGCAGAAAATGTATTAACTAATACACAATACCCAAAAATATCAAGTTAAAGACGCCACTGGTATATAACACAGCTAGAAACCAGTTACACATGCATTTAAAGATGAAAGATGGGAATAATGAATATGACTGAGTGTTTACCAGTGTCAATACGAGATGCATAAACCGCTGAGGGATGTAAGCATGGAAAAAAACGTCATGTTACTTACGGAAGCTACTACTACTAATAATAATAATTTATATTTGTTTTGTTTGTTTTTCTAGAAAGAAAAAAAAATATGGTCATAGATAATCATCTTTACTTATCATATTTCGAAAACAGTTATATTATAAATCAATACACATAATATGATACAAATATATTCTTATAAAATGGGCCATTTTACAAACATTGGAATATACTTTTGTACAAGTAACATTTTGAATGCACAACTTTTATCTGTATTTAAAAAAAAAAAACGTTTTGTAAAGATCACTGCAGTAACTATTATTACATATTACTGAGATTGAGCTTGAAATGCCTGGTAACAAATACAAATGCTTTTGCATCTTCAATTTTGTAAACAACACGTGAACATGTGGGAGGCGCCTCACCTGGGAAGTCTCTGTCGCACGATCTGGTGACGTCGAACTAATGCGTCCAAGAGGAAAGTCAGGAACCAACTTCGCCAACTAGCAGGTAATTCGCATCAAATGCAATAAGTGCTAATGCTAGCTTTATCTGCAGCACAATACACATTAAACATAGCGTAAGAGAAGCACGTTAGTTGAGTGTTACACTGATGCAGCTAAAGGTAGTTTTTGACGACGTGTAGAAAGTTGGCTGGTTGACGTTAGCTGCTAACATGTAGCATGTCGTTAGCAGCAGGACCCACTTGTTGCAACATGACAGTGAAGTTTGACACTTCAATCGGCAACTTTCTTGTTTCTTTAGACATGTTTACTTTCATTACTTAAGTCTGGTAAACAAAATAACATACACAAACATGTTTGACAATTTCTAATGATACCTGCTGTCAAAAAAGTAATGTTGGTATTTTTGCTGCGTCCAGTGTTAGTACAACAGTTTATAAAGGATTATATGTCAAATGAGTTCAGCTTAAACGTATGCAGCCGACAATGCAACATATCCTTTAAAATACTTGACAGGGTCCGTTTTACTGCACATTGCAGGACTTTTATTACTAGTGTAGTATTTAAGCAGTGAATCTTTTCTTAAGTAAAGGATATGCATCCTTCTTTCTTCATGTCAACGTTTTTAGATTGAACTGACATAATATGAGTTGCTCTGACTGATGTGTTGCCCTTATAGGTTTTGAGCCTTGTGCTGGCAATGGGGGACATGAAGACCCCAGACTTTGACGATTTGCTAGCAGCTTTTGACATTCCTGACATCGATGCCAAAGAAGCCATTCAATCCAGTCCAGAGGACGAGCGAGATGAGGTGGGAACTAATGCAGAGGAGAGAGAGAGCGGGTCTCCTTCCTGCTTTCCCCGCCCTCCTGCCTCACATAGTGAACCTCCTGTGGTCAGTGTTATTGTGAAGAACACAGTACGGTCCGAGTCTTTTGAAGAGGAGGAGAAGTCTGTCAGGGACAGAACAGACAATCCCTCAAACAGTGGCTTAAACTCTCAGGTTCAGGTCAAGGTGGGGGACATCACCTCACAGCTTGGCCTCAAAAAGTCTGCTGAAGCCCCTGTGGAGCCCCAGGCTGCCAATGGCTTTGAAGGATCTGTCCCCAGGGATCAAGGACAGTCCACCACAGAGCCATGGCTCCCTCATTCCCCATTGAGGTATGCACTGAATTCGAATGAGGGTGAAAGTGATCAAAAAGCTGAGGTTGGATCGGTTCAGCACAAGACTGATGTCATGAACAGTTTGAAGCCCCTCCTCTTCTCCCAGTCTTCGACGAGTGCTTGTCCTAACTCCTCAACTCCTCCCTACCCACACTTAGTCAGCCCTCCGCACTCTCCTCAAAAGGAGGAAATGAGTAAATCATCATCCTCTCCTTTACCGCAAAACGGTGGTATTAAGGCTGCAATTAGACATGTTATGCAGTCAGATGATGATGACTCAGAGCCAGATTTAGGAAGTCCACTTGTGATCCAGGAGAGCCCAGAATCTGTCATGTCCTCCCCCCCCAAATTTAGACACAGAGCAAGACTACGGTCTGAGGCCATTGGGTCTCCTGATACTGCTGCCTGTCTTGTTTCACATCCTCGCCCGCCGCCTTCTCTTGCCCCTGCAAATCCTAAACCCCAACACAAGGGGAAGGGTAAACCTACCACTCACCAATCTCCCTCCACCGCTCCTCAACTACAGAGCCTCCCCTCTCTCACCTCTAGCTCTGCATCAGTCCAAGAGGAGACATACCCAGAGCATGTGATTGATGATAGGGACTCACCTGAGAGCCCACCGCCCAGTGAGATGGGTCTGGTTGTCTCCAAGAAAAGCAGCAGTTCTGAATCGGCCATAACCGCAGAGAACCACAAGGACTCCAGTCTCCAAGAGGAGCTCATGGAAACTGAGTGCAGAGAAGAGGACAGGCAGGGTGACGCTGAGGGGCAGAGCGACAAGATGGCTGGAGATGAAGACAATTTAAATGAGGAGAGCTGTGGTGCTGGCACTGAGGGTCCTGTGTCTGTGTGTGCTTCGGAAACAGTTTCATCTCCATCGCGTCCCCTCAAAGTTAAAATCAAAATGCCTAAAGGCAGCGTCACAAGGACCGTGACTGGTGTTACCCCTAAAAGAAGGGGAAGAGCAACCACCAAGAATGTGAACAGTTCAAAACCTTCGCCAGAACCTAAAAACACAAGATCTAAGAAGGAGTTATCACAGCAACCTCAGTTGCCTGCGATGACGATGCTGCAGAATGCCTGTGCCGCAACGCTGGAAGGTGCCCGTCTGGTCAAAGACAAAACCGTGCTGGACACCAAGCCTAAACTTTCCACAACAGCTGTGAGCATCACTAAAGCTTCCACCCTGCCCTCCATCTCTGTCTCCACTCCCAGAGTCAGCCCGGGTGGGATCAACCCTCGCAGCCTGGGTCAGAAAACCCCCAACAGTGGGATGACACTTTCTTCACCTTCACCTCTGCTTACGCCCCAAAGTAGCAGCAGACCAGCCTCCATAGTGAACAGCACTGGGGCGATCATTTCCAAAACTCAGACCAACCTGGTGGAAGCTTTCAACAAGATCCTCAACAACAAGAACCTGCTGCCCAGTTATAAACCAGACCTGAGCTCGCCTCTTCCTGCAGAGTGGGGCCTTCCTCTTCCTGCACAGGTGAACTGTCACTGTTTAGACAGCTGTTGGATATATGATCATTTAGGATATTATACTGAATGCTTTGGGTTTTTAGACTAGCGGTCTGAACAAACAAGTGATTTAAAAATGCAACATTGAGCTTTGGCTTAGTTTGACTTTCTATGGACAAAACAATAACAATTTAACCGAAAATGTATAGTTTAACTCTTAATCAAAAAGAATCCTTAGTCGCAGCTCTAGTTGTGTTAACTGCAACTAGGTACCCCTGCCACAAACCCATACATAGATTATTAGGTAGAACCAGCTGCTTTGGCACTTAAAGTTAAATCTGATCCGTTAGATGATAACTTGTTTTAAAGAAAAAGTATATATGCAGGTAGAGGATGTGTGTGTGGTATAACTCATCTGATATGTGTAAAACATTTTCAATAGAACATTCCTCTTCCAGAAGGAGTCATTGGTTTTGATACCATAATCATGACATCATGACAATCTCACAGCACTTTTTTTACATGGCGTTATTTCCAATGAAGTGATTATCGAAGAACATGAATGTCTGATCCCCTGCAGGGTTACCGCTGTTTGGAGTGTGGAGATGCCTTTGCCCTGGAGCAGAGTTTAGCGCGGCACTACGACCGGCGCTCGCTGAGGATCGAGGTGACCTGTAACCACTGTGCCAAGCGGCTAGCCTTCTACAACAAGTGCAGCCTGCTTTTCCACGCCAGAGAGCACAAGGAGAAAGGCCTGATCATGCAGTGTTCACACCTGGTGATGAAACCCGTTCCTGTGGAGCAGATGATTGGCCAGCAGGAACCCACAGCTGGTTGGTCAACGTTATCGCTGTCTCAGAATAGATTTTCATTTGCCTGTATGCAATCTCTATGATTAGGTCTCTTTTGTCTTCCTCTTCAGGGCCGTCACCATTAAAAGGCCAGGCCACTCCAAACACAAAACCCCAGCCACATCAAACGGTATCCAAGAAGAAAGCAGAGGCATTGCAGTTCATCAGTAATAAATGTCCTGAGTGCCAGGCTCAGTTTAGCAGCAAAGAAGAGGTGGCCGAGCATTTCCAAGAAATCAAACCAGCACAAACCTCTGTGAGTCTTTTGAGCGGGAGGAAAAAAAGAACATACATAAACTGTGTTGATCAATGGTATGAAAGTGAACTAACTCCATTTGTTGGCCTTTCTTCTTCTGTTGTTCTCCAGCCTTGCACAGAGTGTTCTCCTCCCATGCTGCTGCCCAACAGCTGCAGCGCCGCGGCTCATCAGCGCATCCACCAAGGCTGCCCCCCCCACGTCTGCCCTGACTGTGGGGGCACGGCCAAGCAGCCGCTGTTTCAAACACACCTTGACCAGATCTGTTTACATTTTGCACGCCGCATCGGATACAGGTGGGACATCATTGTTATACCCATCAATTCTGTTTCTATGGCTATGTTTATCTCTTTTCTCTGCCATTGTTTGGGGCCATTTACTATGTAAACAATTGGCCAAGTTTGATACTATCTGATGCATATTGTTTAGCTAAGGATGGATTCACGTCATGTGCCACAACATTTTCAATACATTTAAATAAAGTCTTTCTCTCTCTGCAGATGTTCCAGTTGCCTGGTGGTGTTTGGAGGACTCAACTCAGTGAAGGCTCACATCCAACAGGCTCATTGTGATATGTTCCACAAATGCCCCAGCTGTCCCATGGCTTTTAAATCTGAGCCCAGCACACAAAACCACATCAACGCCCAACATCCAACCCTCACCGAAGGACAGACCATGTATATATACACACTCGCATATACACAAAGATGTGCTAATGAAAACAAATGTTTCCTTTTCAATAATCAACCTGGTTTTTATCCTTTCACAGGTCAATCTATAAATGTGTCATGTGTGACACAGTTTTCACCAACAAGTCCCTGCTTTACGTCCATTTTGACACGCATTTAACCAATCAGAAGGTCCATGTGTTTAAATGCCCTGAGTGCACCAAGCTGTTTTCTCAGAGGAAATCCCTTCTGGACCATTACAAGGTATATGCATGATTTTATAGGAATCAATGAAATAGTATCAATTAAGTTACAAATAAAGTAAAATATATCCCCCTCGTAATGTCATTCTCTTTTCGTTCCTGTTCCTCAGACTCATAACACTCCACCATTAAAACAAGAGCTGCCTTCACCTCCAGCCCCCTCCTCTTGTTCCCGGCCGTCAGTGAAGATGGAGAGCTCAGATGGAGAGGAATGGATGGATGAAGATAAAGAAGAGACAGCAGAAAAGGTGAAGACCCCCACAGGATGGAAGTGTGCGCCTTGCCATTCCCGCTTCACCGACCGGCAAGACTACATTTCCCATATGGCTGAGCAACATAGCAAGGTCTGGATGCATCCCCTGCTGTTTAAGATGTCAAAAGAAAAGGTTTTTAGAGCTATAAATGAATATGCCATATGTTGCTGTGTTGTGTAGAATCTGAAGAAGTTTCCTTGCAACAAGTGTGAGAGCTCCTTCACCACCACCTCCAGCATGAGACGACACCTCAGAGACAAACACAAAGCCGGGAGTCGTAGCTTTCGCTGCAAGTGAGTCACACACATTCTGCAGAGTAAAAAACAGTATGTTGTTGAAGTGGAAAGACTGTACCAAGTCCAAGTTAATCATTGCAAAAAAGCCAAGATATGTTCTTTGTTTTTGGTAAACTGTTGTAAAGCCTTGGACTTTTAAACAATTGCTTGGTAACAATCCAGGTGTAACTGTGATTCCTAATATATAAGTAAACTAACAATATGAAACCTACTCATATCTTCACTGCCCTTACTCAATCATAAAAGTACATTGTTATATTTAAGTGGTGTGTGTGTTTGTAGGTTTTGTATTGAGAGTAAGAAAACCTTCAGCAGCAGAGCGTTGTTGGAGAGGCATGTTCAGCTGAGACACAGAGCGGAGCCCGGCAGCCAGGACACACTGATGGTGAGTCACTCTTTATGTTAACAAGTCAAACAGGGAACACTTGAACAAGATGTAAACGGCAGTATTGGTGATTTCCTCCGGTCACAGGGGGGCACAGATGAGGCGGATAGTTCCTCAGAGCAGGAGGGCAGTGTGGGGGCCGGCCGCAGAGCGAGGGGAGCTGTGAGGATGGAGCAGGACGAAGAGTCCACAGATGGGGTGACTCCAGTGAAGAAGTCGCGGTCGTCCTCCTCTGCTCCGGCCCCCTACTCCCACCCCGAGTCTGGATTCCGCTGCGCCCCCTGCGGCTTCACCGCGGCGGACCAGGCTGTGTTCCTGCAGCACATTAGCAAGCACCGGCGAGGGGGGGCGGAGGGGGGAGGGGGCAGTCAGCAGTGTTTACAGTGTGGCGCCTGCTTCACATCCCTCTCCTCCCTGTCGCGCCACCGCTTCATCTCCCACAAAGTGAGAGAAGCTGAGCAGCAGTCCCTCGGTGCCCACCCAGCCCCCCCCCCAGGTAACAGCAGGAGCCACGATGATAAGAGCTCCCTGGATGGTTCTGCCCCAGCGTCCCCCTCCTCTCAATCCTCCAACGCTCTGGGGAGGGAGGAGGAGGGCACGCTGGCCTGTAGGGTTTGCGGCAAACATTTTGAAAAGGCAACGGATCTGAATACTCATTTCAGAACTCACGGTATGGCTTTTATCAACGCAAGGAACTCTGGAAAAACTCCGTAAGACGGCAAATACGTGAGGAAGAGCATTGTGGGTATGTGATCGCAAGTGCCTTAATTACTGTCATCTACACTCACTTTTGCACTAACCAAAGAACAGTGGTAGAACTGAGGCTGTCCTCTGTATGTGAACAGTTTGTAAAACAATCATGTGTGATTTTCACTGGTGGAGATTCAACCCTACTTGTGACCCTCAGGATCTAATGCTGCCTTTGTGTGTTCATCAATGATACTGCTCACATGGAAGCCTCTTCCTGGTCCGTAAACAGGTAGTCTGACTGCTGTGACCGCATCACATAATAATGTGCCAGCGATGGTTGTTTTATTTAATGTTGATGGACAGCAATTGAATGTGTCTGTCTTGATTTCAATGGTTCTCATCCTCTCGAGGAGACATTTCAAACATGTGTAATTCTCTGTGAAGTCCTTTTCACTAACTTTTAAAGAATCTTGGCAGCAGTTTAGTGTCTGTTAACTCGGTTACAATTCATGTTTATATTCTCATTGCCAGCCATTTTCAGAAACATACATGTTTGTTTGTTGGTTCCCACCTCTAAACGGAGCCATTAGCTTCCATACATGTCTGTGTATATGAGAACTAAATTACAGGGACTTGCTTAAAGTAGTTAACCCATCACATGTCCTTTTTGAGTTTCTTTACGTACAGTGTTTCCTTGCTGAGCTGCAATAGAGGGACACTAACACAAAGAGGAAATATTGTTGAATTACTACGACATATTTTGGAGTGGAATTTACTATTAAACATTGAACTATTAACATTAAAGGAGGTATTCCTTCTCTGTGAGCAACAGTTGGAAGTAAAATAATGTATGTTAGCATTTGGTTGTGTCTAAATGTAGTTTTATGAGATTACTGTAAACAAAAGATCCGATGTGTGTCATTATGTTTATTCCTTGTGCTTTGCAAAGAGATGTTGAACATGAAGATCAAGCCCATTTTTATTTTATTTAGTCTTTCGCACTGCAAAAAGAGAAATCATTGTTGTGTTTCTTAAATAATTACCCCTTCAATGTTCTGCAGCCTTCACTGACCTGTTTGCTTGTGTTTACTTCCTCAGGAGACTATCCAATGCTTTTACACACCATGTTGCATTTAATGTTTTTGCATTGATACAACTATTTTTAAGTGTTTATAAAAATATAAAAATAAATGCCACATGATCTCTTTAATGTTCTTTTTCATTGTCTTTAAATACCATTTCAACTATACCCCAGAACGTATGTTACTATTCTTTATTGATATATTCACTTGTCATTCTTACAGTACAAAGACATCCTACAACGAGATCACCTGAGTGACACACATTAAATATGACCTTTCATCCTATTCAAATATACTTTCTTATAGAGATATAGAGACAGAATATTTAAAAGCAATAATAAAGATTCCTCACAGTTAAATATATCCTGAGTATGTAATTGTTATTGTTTAGTACAGCCTGCACTCACAAATGATAACAGAAAATCTAAAAGAAGCCATCGTCCTCACAATAAGAGAGACATGTCTCTATAACATAAAGAGGCTGCATGTTGGTGGGTAGGAGCTCCTGCTTGTGTTGCAGCGGGATGTGCAGCTCTCAGTTCTCACAGCAACAGCAAACCCATGAGGAGGAACAGCAGCGGCATCATGAAGGCTGAGATCCCCTCGGCGCTCATTGATGGAGCTCCTGAAACAGCGACATGAAGATGGATGCAATGAACTCCGCACTGTGAGTGATGTACATTTACATAAACCATGCTATGTCAATTTTCAGCAGTGTCCATGTTTGTTTTTACCTGAATGGTCAGTTCTTTGCTCTTGGTCAGTTGACCCGGTCGCGGCTCTTTCAACAGCGGCCAGCTGCTCGTCTGTCATCTCCGCTTGCTGTCCACTGGTTACCATGGCAGCGTTGTCAGGTCCAAGAGACAACAGCTGATCAACATTGAGACTCTGGGGGTAAACAGAATCAACATTTATTGGCCAGTATGAGTTTTTTCAATTACACTCAATGTACACAAAGTGGACATAACAAATAGACAAATGCAGAGAAGAACAAAAGAGTGCAGTATCAGCGCTGCCATCTGCAGCACCACAGGAAGACAATCCCTCAAGTAAAATCATTTATAAATACCTTGCTAGAAGAAATAGTGTAGCATTGTTATGTAAGTATAAAGTCAGGAAAAATTAAATAAAAACACTCAATGTACTTGTTATGACAAATGCCGTCTTTCATGGTGTGATACTGTACATGTATACCTTGTATTATGACTGATGCATTAATGTATTTTAGGACCATTTACATTTTTTAACAGATTTACTTGCAGAAATGCAAAGTTGATGGAGTTGGTTGATTTTGAAATGTTTTGAGGCAGAAGTATTAAGCGTTATATAATGGGAATATATACGTTAAAACAAAAATACCTAAAGTAAAGTACTTTGACTCACAGCAAAGATGCGTGGTGGTATGAGCGCGATGCAGGGCTTGCTGATGAATGAGAAGACTGACGAGTTTAAAGAAGCAAACTCAGTTGCGTTCAGCCCAGCTGAGGAAGACACAAACAGAAGTTGCTGAGCACAAAACGAGAACCAAAACTAGTTTCTGCAGTAGATTCAAGATTCAAAGGTTTTAATGTCAAATGCTCATAAGCTACAGTGTAGAAATGGCAATGAAAATGTTATGACCAGAGCTCCTCCAACGATGCAACATATATAATAAAATACAATAACAAATAGTGTAAGAAGTCTTAATAGTCAGTAGGCAACAGTTAAAAGCACTTCTGATGAATACGACAGTGGGGTTACGTTTCCTAGAGACAACTGAAAGTAGAGGGGATTATCTAACCGGCGATGTTGCCCAGCTCAGATACGTGTGCTTCATCCCAGCTGTTAGGATTTCCAAATGCAGACACAGCGAGACGTTTCAACTCCTGTGATTTACTGTAGGAGCAGGCAACACTTCCCACTGAGCCCACAGCGTCCCTGCGACACACAAACAAACATTAGAAACTAGTCCGAGTTCTTAATTCTGCTCTTGACCAGGTGATACATACTTTGTAAACTTAAATTAAAGTATTGATAATAGTTACATTTGCTACCAAACTAATTCAGCATTTATTTAAATAAAAAGAATGAGGCCAGATAATAATAATAATAATAGGGGATAGTCATCAGAGACATAGATAGTGGAAGTTAAGGGGATATGTTTAGCTGCATATGATAAAGACAGAGTTGTTATCTTTTTCCTCCTTCTCTTGAACAATTGAAAATGACTAGTTAGTTCTGTATGGTGCACTAACTTGAAGGCGTCGATGTTCAGCTGTCTGATCTCAGTGGAGTCGAGGCCACAGATGAACCGGCTCAGCATCACCATGTCTGCTGCTTTCAGCTGCTTCACCGTCAGGTTGTTATATTTTGAAGCACCCTTCCACACCGACTCCATCTATTGAGACCATAAGTCTGGATTAGTGAACGCCACGATGATCAGTCAATGAGTATATGAAGCGGCTTCTATACTTCACCTGGGACTCATTCCAGCCACAGTTGGCAGTTTCCTCCAGAGTGTCCAATGGGAAAGGGAGCGTCTCGAGGTCTTCACTGGAGAATCCCCGAGTTAAACATCCCAACTGCTTCACCTCACTCTCAGTTATCTCTGGAACCAAGTTCTGTGAAAAACACACACACACCTACATGTTTTACACCTTTACCCAGAGAGTGATAGTGCTGAACAAAGGTTTATGATCCCTATTTTGAAGGAGTTCTGTACTTGGATTATTCTGGATGTTGAAGTTTTAAATCTTATGTAGATCAAGTAGGAGTTGTTTAAAAGGAAGACACCAGATTCATAATATATCATGTTGACCTTTGACTGCAGAGGGAGTTTGAGCATTTGCTTAGTTTAACTGAGTTACTGTAGACAGTGGTAATTCCTTTTTGTCTATAAGCACTGTACCTTATCTATTTTGCTTTTGAGCACGGCCAGTTGATCTGCGTTGTAGTCAGAGACATCTCCAAGAGTTTCTACAGTAGCAAGGAAGGTTTGGTCTGACATCCCATCCAGCTGTTCGACTGACCAGTAGACGTTATTCATTCCCAGTTCTTCAATCATCTCCGCAGTGACTTGTTCGGCTATGAGAGACAAGAAAGAAACAAATAGAGGTTGAGAAAAGGAGCAGTCAGTAGAAGAATGCACCAAACACCTGTGTGTGACGTCCTCACCTGCTCTCTTTTTACGTGCTGCATTTGATGCGGTTGTGGTGAGATCAAAGATTTTCTTTCCCAGGGCTTTGGAGGTGTGTTTGAGTTTCGACTTCAAGAAATAGAGAACATCCTTCAACCAAGGCTGCCCGATAGAGAGAGAAAGAGAGAGAATATAGGTCAGAAGGCGTCATGAGAATTACTTTCACAAATAATAGTGAAGGAGAAGACCCAAGAACACCTTATTGGGCAGAGTGGATATCTTATTGTCATCCAAAAGGACCAAAGCACCAAGTTCTTCCATAGTCTCTGCTGACCAATTAGATGGATCCCTGCAGGAGATTTAAAACATGCATCATCGAAAAAGCTTTTTTTGCAATAATTTAGGCTTTCACAGGGATTATTTCTTACCCAAAAGTCTCGTTGACCAGCTGAACCAAATCTGCCACGTGGCGACGGGGAATTTGCTGACAGGAAGCCATGGCACGGAGGCTGGATTTGAGGACTTCAGGGGCCATGAGGGGGCCTCTCATGAGTTTCAGTTGGGCAGGCGAAAGCTCACACAAAAAAGGTCCAAGCCTGGACACATCCTCCTCGGTCAACATAGATAAGTCTGTCCCCTGCAGATACACAGCGAATATCTCATTGTTGCACAAACTGGACTCAAGTGATAATGTGTGTGGGGAACCGGCAGGTGACAATTCAAAGAGAAAACCTGAACAATAAATAAGCAGAGAAACATAATGAATGCTTCTCACTTTAAGGCTTGTTGAATCTATGATGTGATCTTCACAGTCAGACCTCAACTCAAAAATACCAATCAAACTGTTGAGACCAGTGTGTTACACTGACATCACCATCAAAACACCAAATGAGGAAATGTCTTTTGTACTGGACAAATGTATGCTAAGGAGCCATTTATGTTGCTCTCTTGAGTGTTTAGGCTTTTCCTTTAAGTTGTCTGTATCCTTGTTGTGTGTACATTAGCCAGGCAACGCAGAGCTCTCTCGGTGAATGCGGGGCGAGACAGGGAACGTTGAGGTAATGAGCTCAGGTCGGCCTCTTCTATCTTGTAGAGTAAGGTGGGACACACAGAGTCAGGCAAATCCTCCACCTTCGAAGGCCTGTAAGAAAAAGATAGAGAGATAGAGACCAGTAACATTTAATTACTTACTCCTTCAAACAAAGTGAAATAAATAAAAGACTGTTTATTTACGGCAGCCGAAGGAGTAAGCATGTGGAGATGTTTTTCATCTCCTCCTCAGTGATGGTTTTGAAGTAGTCAGCTCTCTCTTTCTCCAAAGAAGCAAACAGCTTTCGGGCAGCGCATCCTGCCTGGAAACAGATATTCGTAATCCATTGGTATGCTCCACACATGTTTTATTCACATATGTGTGTACATTGTATGACGTAAATACATACCTGGCGTTTGGAGAGCCACTGCGGATCCTCTGTTACAGCCTGACCCATGTCCCCAGTATCACTGTCTGATACGTCGTCGATCATCTCACAGGTTATTCCCTGCATCACTGAGCGCAGCTTCTTAACTCTGTCAAGTGAATGTAAGTCATTGCAAACACTGTTACAAGAACACACAGATAAAATAACCAAGTAATATGTCTTTGTAAAGGTTTTCTTATAATATTTTTATTGTGGATACTCAGAAGTGATGATTTAAGTCAAGGGTCATTTGTTTCCAACATGAAGACAGTGTTTTCTGCTAATGTAACAACCAATATTTCAATATGATAACAACATTTATGATTATCGAAGATTTCAGAGGATTATAGTTGTTAGTTGTTTATTTTAATATTTAATGTTACTTCAATGTTACAAGACCTACCAGGTGTTTAAATACTTGAATGTCCTTGAAAGCCTCTCAGTAGAAACCCATGTTAGCTTTGTCAGATGTTCATATAGCAAGCTTTTGTATTGCATTGTATTAAATATGGTTTGTTCACAGCTGTTTATATCTCACCTATACCAAAACTTATTTCCATTAAGTATCTTTTTAGCCAGGAAAGCTGCCTAAAGAACAGGAAAGAAAGACAAAAAAAGTTCACAACAAATTCACCATATTTTTTGTAAATACATCCAATAACTTCATAAGTGATACATTTATGAAAGCTATTGTACTCCAGCTTAGTTAATTAATCAGGAACAGTTACATGGAAGAAGCCAGATAATTCAGAGTGTGTTAAAAATATAAAAACATAATTAAATGTGATAACAATTGTGTGCTTTTGGAGCAAGGAGGTATGCAGGGGCTTCACCTGTGAGCGACTCCATGTTTTATCCCCCACTTGATCCAAAGAGACGATGTTTGCTTCAACTAGCGTGCTTAGAGGAAGACTGCTGAGCAAACGGCCGGACAGCTTCTGCACCAGCAGTGAGGGAGCCACGTCTCCAAGCAGCTGAAGGCAAACACTCAATTACTTTTCATAATATATCAACAGTATTTATAAATGGTATTAGACGGAGATGGGAAAGTAACTAAGTACATTAATTATGTACTTAATTACAATTTTGAGATACTTGTTCTTTACTTGAGTATTTCCATTGTATGCTACTTTGTACTTCTACTCCACTACAATTATTTTGTACATTTAGTTACAGATTTGGATGGCCTACCCTGCAGCATACAGAGTGATTAAAACTAGCTGCACCTTTACCAGCTTTGATAAACACTTTAATGCATCAATAATTATAATCAAAACATATCATATATATTTTTCTGAAATGTACCAATCGGCATACTGAGTAAGTATATTTTGAAGCCAATACTTTTGTACTTTACGTGAGTAACATTTTGAATGCAGGACTTTTACTTGTAACAGAGTATTTCTACACTCTGGTACTTTTACTTTTACTTAAGTATAAGGTCTGAGTACTTCTCCCACCTCTTATTACAGTTAACAAGACATATACTTTTTTTTATTTAACATTACAATTTAAGATTTTTTTCATTTAAACATTTACATTTTCCTCAACAGGCAGTACTCATCAGATTCAGAGTTTGTCTTAATCAAATGTAAATGTAGCTTTATTTCCTGCTTCTCCTTCCTCACCTCCTGCAGCATGGCCATCCGCTGCCCCTTCCTCATCCTCTGGGCGATGTTCTTCATCCCCTCTGTGTCATTCAGGATCTCCTTGACATGCTTAAATGCACAACTTGGCAAACCTTCTGCAACTGACTTTAAGGCCAACAGATCCTGACCGGACATACTTTTGTTGCACTAAGACAAAGCAGAAGGAGATCATGAGATACTACATTAAAAACAAACATCCTGAATATGACAACATAACAAACATCCCAAAAAATACCAATCCTGTTAGGAGAGCTGCAGTCTGGCAACATAATAGGATTTTACCTGCCACACACACACACACACACACACACACACACACACACACACACACACACACACACACACACACACACACACACACACACCACACACACACACACACACACACACACACACACACACACACACACACACACACACACACCCCCCCCCCCCACTATGCTAGGCAGGTGTTACTTTTTTGTATATATGGTCATACCAATAAAGCTCATTTGAATTAAGAGACTATCTTCCAGCAGCAGGCAGGCTCACCTTCTTGTCCTGCAGTTTCTTTCCTATGGCGCGCATCTGGGCCCGTGTCCATTGGACGCTGGATCCCAGATTTGTGACGATGTCTTTGAGATCTGCTTTAGAAATCTTAGAAAGATCTGAGGAAGTCAAGAAGGCAACACTCTTGCCCAACTTTTGTAGTCCTCTAATGTCGGTTGCATTTGAAAAAACTGCCTTGACAAGACGCTTCTTCATCTGGAGTCAGGGAGGACAAAAGAAACAAAAAGTATTAAAGAGATTACTCTTACTTGAAATGTTACCATTGTCCCATCTGGGGGGGGGGGGGGGGGGGTCATTAATAACCCCCTCAGTAATTAGGAGCGGGGTATACCTGCTTGATTTTGGGGTTGCCGTCGTCACAGCTGTCGAGCTCAGAGAGGAGTTTTTGGCTGAGGTCAGGATCCAAATCTGGAGCATTGGAAACATGACAGGCCAGTATGCCGAGCCTGATGAGATAAAAAGCAAAAAAAGTAGTGATTAATCCAACCTTGAAATCAGCCCTCTATAATGTCAGCTACTTTAATTTGTATAGCAAATAATTATGATACATGTATTGTTCTCTCTGTCATATTGAGTGTCTGTCTGTTAATGATATCTCTCTTGTCTGTTAAAACATTCCTTCCTTACAAAACTCCAAAAGCTCCCTCATTCAGAGTAATCACTGAGTAGGAATCAATGACAAATGTCCATCTGCCCTCTTCAGTTTCACCACATGATAGAGTTTCTATCTTTCAGGATTTACCTTTGTAACTTTGTTTTTTTAGGCACTAAATAAATACATTCTATGACTTTGGTTCGACACTAATCGACACACATTCATGCATGAATACACACTTGTCCACATTCTTAGAAAACTCATTTGTCCCGAAGCATTCTTGAAATCTTTTGAGAAACTTCCTTCCCAGGCTGGGATTCATGTTGCTGACCATGTTCGTGGCTACTTTAAACTTTCGTAAGCGGAAGAATTCACACAGCTAGAAGAGAAAGTGAAGGAAACGAATCAGCAAAGACACAAATAAAAAATGGGTTAATTGGCTTTTCTTCTTTGCAGAACCCCCACCTCTTCCTTGGGAGCAGAATCAACATCCTTTGGTGCTAACTTGGCGATGTAAGGTCCCATCATGTTCAATGTGTCCAAGTCCAGCCATTTTCTTTTAGGGTTGCAGCGCTCCATCAAACCTGCAGATGAAATGAGGCAATCTTAAGTCGCATTCAACAAAGGTACTGGAAAGAGGTCATGTTCTGTGATTTGCATGATTTTCCATGATGTCCTTTCCAGTTTTATTATTAGTTGTTCAATGACATGATTCTCCACCTGCTTTGTATGATTTGCATATAAGAGGCTTGTCCAGCTCCCACTCTAACACACCCTGACTGTCTATTGTTGTCATCCTTTCTTTTATTTCAGATGCTTGGTTCGCCTTGCTTTTTGTTCTCTATACCTCCATCTTTCTTCCCCTCTGATTGTGTTTCCCTCTGTGCTGCCACTTCTACTTTATTAGGTACTACCCTCTGTCCCTTTCACTTCGTGCCACCTATATTTTCTTACTTCTCTGCCCTCTTTCTTTCCTCTTTCTATTTAACATAAGAGTGACATTTTCTCCACTTCTTAGTGAATGGATTGTATTGAAATGTTTGACGGTTATTGTGAAAAAAGGTTACTGAATCCAATGGCTTTATCTCTTTTCTTACTTGATCTTTGATCAGCTGCTGGCCTTGTTGTACAGTTGAAGTATTTCTCCATGATCTGCTCTTTCTCCCATTTTACCACCTGAGTTGTTTGGTCTTCAGACATGCCAACAAATGTCTCCTTCAGCATGTCCAACCTGGAACAAATGACCAATTTTGCACTTTTAAGAAAAGTTGATGAGAGACAGTGGAGAAGGCAGTTGCATAAATCCAAACTCACAACTTTTTCAGGTTTTGGCCCTCTCCTACATAACTAGGAAGTTTCATTCCTAGAGCAGGTTTGGAGGCCCCCAACAGCGTGTCATATTCCTCTGACGTCATGTTCTCACTCTGTTTGGTCAACATCTCCCAGGAGATAGAGGCCAAAATCGCTTGCATGTGACATGAAGATGCCATCTGAGGGAAATAAGATAGATGGTAGGATGTATTAGACTACCATAGAGCTGCACTTGTTAATGCATCATGTTTTATTTTTTACAAGATCTTGGCATTAGTGGGGAATACTGACGGAGGAGTTCCGCATCTGCTTGATTGTGGCTAGAAGACATTTCTTGTTTATCTAAAATGAGAGAAACAAAGAGTTGAACAACACATACACCTAATGATGAATACAATTACTCATCAACCGTCAAGATAGCAATTTTAAAGATTAAAATAAACAATAACAGTAATCCTTTTTGTTGTCTGAATACATCTTTTGTGGTTTAAGTGATCCTATGTTTGTTTATTCTTATTATATGTTGTCCATGGTTTATTCACACCATTACATCCACTTGTGGGTCTTTGTTGGAAGAGCCTGAAACCATGCTTTCCAGGTCCGCCTTTGCCGAGTCACTGAGAGAAATGAGGGTTAAAAAAAATAATGTGGTGAGTAAAAAACAGTTTAAAATACTTGGTTTTGTGTTTTACTGCTGATTAATGTCTGTCATTACTTTGCTTCATATACATCCTGCACAGTCAACCATAGTCTTCCACTTTTCACCACTAATAAAGCAGTTTGGGTTAAACACCTTGGTTAGGATGGTTTCAACAACAATAGATTGTTGATTATTCAGATTATTTTGTAGCCAAATAGTTTGAAAAAATAAAAAGGCAGCTCAGCATTTGAACAGGTCCAGGAAATGAACCGAACACACAGCAGGGACACACACAGACACACAGAATTACCAATTCTCGAAGAGAGTTATCGGCAGCATCTTAGGCTCCGGATACCCTGTAAAACAGCATCCCTCATAATAATATGTTGCACAGTTAAAACACATCAGGACTCGGCTAGTGTTGAGTATTTGCCATGTATTCGCTTTGACTCGGGTTACAGAGGGCACTTTACATGCAAACATACACTGCCTTTGTTCAGTGAATCAGCATTGTCTAATGTTACACACATGTGCGCACACACACACACACACATACACACACACACACACACACACACACACACACACATACACACACACACACACACACACAACAATTATAGTGTATTGAGCGTGAGCGTTCCCTCACCATTTTTCAGGCACTTCTTCATCTGATGAAACAACAACAGACACAACATCCTCAAATGTTAAAGGTTAGAAATGATTAACTGTATACAGTAGTTCAACAAAACAAAGTATGAGATTACTAAAACAATGTGAAAACAGGAAGCAGCAACATGATGGCTGTGATTGAGTGTAAGCTTTATATACAATCTATGAGTGTAAGGCACAACGTGTGTTCATGAAGCTGAAAGGCCTGCAATACAAGTGATGTGTTGGCCATATTACAAAACAAATGTTCTCTCTGTGACAAAACCGAAATAACCTTTTTTTATCATACTTTTTCTAAACTTGATGATTTTATAAATAAAAAGATTTTGAGATAAAACACTTTCTACCAAAGTACTTCAAATATGTTTTGTATGGCAACAAACGGGTTAAAAAACAATGAGAACGCATTCACATTCAAATATTCAAACCAAATCAGAAGAGCCACTTTGCTTGCCCTTATATGTTCGTAATAACTTTAACTCACTGTCCTATTTTATTTAAGAATGACTCTTTTGACTAAAGCTTTTCACAGTCTTAATGTGATGATGAAATATTCTCTTTTTAAGAAGAAAAAACGGTGACTATAAAGATAATGTGTTGGACTTGATGAAGAGAGAAATGACTTACCAGTATCCTGGAAATGTCTTCAGGATTCCCATCTGGTGGCTTAGCTGAAAATGTAGTAATAAATAGTTATATAAAAAACACAAGTTTTTTTGTACACATAAATAAAATGCCTGGAGAAGTTGCAGGTGATGGTGTTGATGCTTACCCAAGGCTGCACACGCCAAGATGAGAAGAAAGCAACATGTTCCTCCTTTAGGAGCCATGGTGAAAAGACCTGCCAGCCTGTCTGTTGAACGCAAGTAAACAATTCAATGAGAGCATTAATAGGAACAAATATTAAAAGGGAATCATTTGAACTCCTTGTACTTTGTGGTGATACATTTTTTCCCCTAAACAGTAGGTTAATGGGTTTTGTAATTATGTCTCTCTTTGTTATGGAACCTGTCTCCATGACTCCCCCTCCAGTTTTCTGATTTCCTCCTTTGAGGATTTGTGATGTAGTTACCACTTGTGTTTCTCCTCCTCAGGGAAGCTTATTGGACTTCAGAGAATGGCTGTGAAAAACATGTTTGGTAATTTACACGATGTTCCTCTCTTTCTCCCCTCTTACTCGATCACTTCTGCTGCATTCACTTAAATGTTATGTTCCTCATTTCTCTTTCTCACGCATTGGTGATAACTATCACGCATTTGCATGATGCTATTTTGACTCCATTTGTATACTTTCCCTTGATTTGACTTCTCATTAAATGTGCCAAATGATGACAAGGCATTGTTAGAGTTAACAAATATTACACTAAAGATTGTAATGCAATATTATTATTTTGCTTGGTAATCATAGATATAAATCTTTCATCAAGGATTAAAAAATAACTATTAAAACGTACAAAAATAAGTGTAGTATACATGTAAATGTCACAGCTTCAATGTAATAAGTTTGCAATCCAGGGTTAACGTATATATTTAATATTCTATCCGTCACATACTTATGTATATATAATACCTTGCTTTATATCATTGTTAATTTGTAAATTCAACATGTATATTTTCTACTTTCTTGTTTATTTCTTGTTTTTTTTAATGTGTATATGCCATGTCTTTTTATGCTGCTGCAACACAAACATTTCCCAAATTGGGATCAATAAAGTAATATCTTATCTTATATAGACTTCTTGCATTATTTTTCATTTGTATTTTATGATATATGTTGCATCGTTGGAGGAGCTCGGGTCATAAGATTTTCATTGCCATTTCTACACTGTAGCTTATGTGCATATGCCATTAAAACCTTTGAGTTATGTCTCTCAAAGGAAACGAAAAACGAAATTCATAAATATATACATTTGTTTTTACTTACCAAATCTATGTCAGCTCCCAGGCAGATTTCAGAATCAACAAAAAAAAACAAGATTTAGAGAAAAGTGAGAGATGTTCCTCGTCCTCTCTATCCTGTCTGATGTGGGTTGGCTCAATGGTTACCTGTCCTCAACTGAGGCAAAGCAGGTACGTGCTTTTAAGAGATGCTGTGTGTGTGTGTGTGTTTGCGTGTGTGTGTGTGTGTGCGTCTCATGAGAGAGAAACAGAAACGCATTATGCATTATTCATGAAGTGAACACACCTTTATAGCTACATTGCAGCTCCTATTTTAATGTTTTAAAAAACAGAACAAACCAGACACTACAAGCTGACAATAGATCACATAGGATTGAGTTGAGATCAGATGCACATTTGTACATTTATTTTGGAGGTTGTATGATTGGATGTTCTGATAATTCGTCAGATTAAACATTATTTTAAATGAAAGCAGGAAAAGATGGACACACTTATAAAACCACAAACAACAACCATATAAAGTAAAGGTAAAGTAAAGGCTTTATTTACACAATCCATAAAGCAAGTGGGCAAACACAAGCTCCTGAATACAGAGCCGTGACAACCGAAACCGAGCACATTTGAATATTAAGGTCGTTGTAGAAGTAGGATTAGGTGAAACGGTGGAGTTGAATAGAACACACACACATTTATCTGAAAGAAAAATTCTTTAATCTTTTTGCAATCTATAACTTTTCCTTGTCCTTACTTTCAATGGCACAAACACGAACATATGTTTAAAAAATGAACAAGAGATGTAAAAACACAAGAGAAAGACTTTAAGACAGATTTCAAAATTAGAAAGACGAAAACTGCAGCATCATCATGAAATATTTAGGTGAAATAAATCAGTGTTGACTGGCCCATATCCAGATCAATGCGGACTATAACAGCTGTGTGCCCACAACGCAGGCCACATAGATAGTTCTGGTGAAATAGTTGTTGAAAGCAGTAAACACAAAATGCAGCCTTGATATCATATTGGTGATGCGGCCAACAGCACAGTGTAACGTATGTGTGAGACCCTCAGGACATCCTCTCCTCATTAACCTTTTAATCACTCTTATTAGGAAATGCAGTTAGCATCTTCCCCATCTGTTGGCTTCCTGCATGTGTATGATGGGGAATCGGACAATAACGCTATCAAGTGGACGGACGTAAATGTATTTCTGTCTTTGTTTTGACTAAAGATAGAGTCCATACATGTGTTGCTCTGAACAGAGAAGGCACAAAGGGGAAGCACTGTGACTGTTGGGTGTGTTTCACTCCATGTTTCCTTCCATTTTGGAGCCGATTAACACATGAAGGTCTGGATTGGTGAAGTGATCTGGCATGAAAACATTGACAGGTATTAGTGGTTTAAAATGAGCATGTATATCTTGACAGTATTGTTAATTTGGATTGTGATAACCATGGCAGCAACTATTCCTGGGGTACATTTAAGGCTAACATCACAAGGCTAACAACATCTCGTATTTTTCTACAGTGCTTTTTAGTCCATTCCTCATAATTTCTCCTCAGCCATATTCCTATTCCTTCAAATTACATTTGAATTTCAACCCATTAGATGCACTTTTTGATGCCCACCAAGAGTCGTTTTGACGTATTTGTATGGGTCAACACATGGTGTGTGTGTGTGTGTGTGTGTGTGTGTGTGTGTGTGTGTGTGTGTGTGTGTGTGTGTGTGTGTGTGTGTGTGCCTCACCTGCAGCGAAATCCCGGATGTCCGCAGGCCTTTTTAGAAGCACATCTCTGTGAGAGGAGGACAAGAAATGTGATTAGTAACTTTACAACTGCAGTACAAAGTATATTGAGGAGACACCCTTTGAGTGTTTACAATAAAGAGTTCACCTTCAAATGTGATCAACTGATATTACTAGTCAGATACACTCATTGTCGGAGGCAGATTCTAAAGTATCTTAAAATACATCGCCTGTTTCTTTCAAATAAGCTGCAAGATACATCAATACAAGGTTTGTATTCGTTACTCTTGAGGTGGACAATGCTCGTTGCCAAGAGTGTTCAGCATGTACTGTAAGGGCGGTAAGACGAGCAATTTGTCTAAACATTTAGCAAAAGTGCTCCACATTCAGACGGAGAAATGCACCGGGTTCCACTGTCTTTCTAGTAGCTCTGTAGCCCCATCCACGAGAAACGTTTCCACATCAGGTGTTCTGTATGCTAGCAGCAACACACAGAGTTAACACAATTATACAAACATGGGTTAATGATTAGAGGTAACTGAGTTACTCTTTATTTTGTTAAAGTTTCAGCTATTCTGTTTACAGTTCTGTCATCAGATTATTTAATATTTGTTAAAACATTGTTGTTTATTTTGATGTGAAATATTATTTATTTAATTTAAATAAAAAGCAATGTTAATTTTGTTCACAATTTGTTAAGTTAATTTAATAATATATGTATTTTTGAATCAAGTATTCATCTTTATTGTCTTCATTGTTAGTTTCCACATGCCTAAAACAACCTCAAGCTAAATCTAATAGTTGATTAATCGTTTCATTAATCGATTATCAAATTAGTCGTTTGTTGCAGCCCTATTATCCCATGTATAAATAAAACGTGTTATTCAGCAACCCTTGCAATTTGGGATTTTATTTTTGGTTGGTAGACCTCGGTGAGCTGGTCATTTCAAAAGTAGTTCACCAGCCCAAAAAGTGTGGGCACCCCTGTTCTACTGCAACACTCCCCACACGCACACACTGTTACAATGAAGGCTCGATAATCAGCTCACGACATATAGGTGTCAGCAGGGGTAAAGTGCTATTTTTACAAGTGGGGTGTGGACCTCACCTCCTCTAGTGGGGTCCGGTTAGGGCATGCTTCCCCGGGAAGATTTTTTAAAAATATTGAAGTTAAGCATCAATCTGGTGCACTTTGAGAGCAACATTAAGAGATCTATGGATACATCTCTCAACAACACCCATATGAAACAGAACTGTAAACAGATTTTCTATTTCTTTATAGATATTTTACAAATCACTCCCCTTTTAAAACAAACCGTTTGAGACCCACTGAGATAACTAGACTAAAGTTAACTATCTAAACACTGTTTAGAGTCCTTTACTTCACCTGAGCTGAGGTTATCTGAGACTCTCAGTCTGACAGGAGAGAGTTCTCCCTCCACCTTGTTGTTGAAAAAGCTCCTTATATCCGTTAGCTTGGCTAGCTAACACCAGATGCTAACCACAACGATCTCCAGTAGATACCATAGGTAGATACCCACCGGTGCGCGAGCTCTCGCTCGCTCGCGCACGCACACAAAATGGCTCGTGCCACACACACACAGCAGAGCTTGAATGAAACACAGAGACCCAGAAGTAAGCTACTTGTATTCACGAGGCTATGCTATTATGTGCAGAATCCCTCTCGCTTTCAGGTGGTTTTGATTGAGTGTCCACACGTGGACGTTTAAGGACTAAAAAACGATCACTTTGCTGTTAGCAAATAATTTGGCGCTCTAGCTAACAGGAAGTCAATCAAGTGTCACAAAGTAATTTAGCCTATGGGTAGGTCAAAAATCGAATGGGTGCTGGCCATTGGCCTAATCATATCACCTGTGTTGGCTTTATGTTTTTGGTAAAACATGTGTTTGTTTCACATTTGCATTAATATAATCAATATTTTTTCTAATTTAATTTAATAAAAATTATTTTCGAAAAAAAACACATTTCTTGGGGGTTCTTAGGGGGTGCTTTGGCAATCCTGGGGGGTGCTTCAGCACCCCCTAGCTCCCCCCTGGCGCCGCCCCTGGTTTGAAGTTACTTTGTATAGCATCTGATACAAATCATAAAAAGTCAGTATGTCATAATAATCATAAAAATGCATATTATAATTGATTAGAAAAATAATAAAAAATAAAAGTCATTGTTGGGTATAAGAACAAGAAAAAACATGATACTATAGCATATCAGACAGACCCTTTAACCCTGACGAGAAGATAAGTCCTGTTCACATGGGCACACACAACACTCATTTGTGATATATAGGCTACAATGAATTGTTCAGTCTCTATCCCAAATAGGCTACTATCAGCAGACACAGAGAGCAAAGAACAGTTGGTTTAATGTAAGTTAACTAACCTTAAAAAGTCACCTATCAATACCTCCATCTCTGGATGTGATCTCAAATACTTCTCATTGTTAATTCTCGTCTTGATCTAAAAAGAAAAAGCATTTCAGGTTAGTCAACAACATACAAATCCAGCTGCGGGTTGTGGCTGTGTGTGAATGACACACTGTTACCTTGAACTGTCGAAGTTTCTCCTGCTGATCAGCAGTTAATACACCAACGTCCAGTTTAGCTAAATCCCCTTTTCCAGACATATTTTCTCTACAAATGTTGGTCTAATGTATCACCTTACAGACCGGAGCCATGTCACGATCAGATCTGTCCACCTGTTACTGACATGGCTGCTGCTCACAACTGTTACTATGGAAACAACCTCCAACAACTAACGGCTGCGTCCGCTAGGCGGCAGCAGAAGACAAAAAAAGGACTAACATTTCTGCAAATGTGTGAGTTTTCAGTCACCCACCCTTTTCAATACAAGGACGGACTGTTGTATCCTCGCTAAAGATTTATGGGATTTTTATTTTATTATTAATAAATGCTGTAATTATTGTTGTATGAGTGTTATTAACCAAAACGTAATGTATCACTTTCTGTGTGAGGAGGGGTTGTGGGGTTTGTATTGTACAGGACTTTGGGTTGCATTTTACTTTCGATCAATCACAGTTAATATACACAATTCAACATTATAGAATGAGCAACCATGGGGATAAATGTGTGTATTGTTTCTTGACAGTCTTTCTAATATGTCTTTAACTTGTAGTCCATCAGGACAACATTCATTTGTGCTATTGAATCCTTTTTTGGAAGCTCAAGCACCTTCAGGGTGACGGTTTTTTTGTTCTCTCTTTTCTGTCGGTTTCAGAAATACATCATATGAAAACTGCAGTGTTATGTCAGCTTAGCTTAGACCTTTTTTAAAGTTACATTTTTGGACTCTTCTGTAATATTGCAGTAAAACACCATGGCAGCTGAAGTGCTGTTTCAACACTGACAGTCACCATTCAACTTTTTAAATGTATAACACCACAACAAGTCCTATAGGATGGGTTTTTGCCTAAAGAAAACATTTAAGAGGCTGGGTGATTAGGGAACTGTTCTAGCTTCAGTATATTGAGACTGAAAACTATTTTAAAATGCTTTTTGACTTTCAGTATTCCAGCATGGCAGTATTCAGCTGCTATTTGGGGCCTCAAGGCTAAAATGAGCCTCTGGGCCTGAATAAAAACTCTGTCCCTCCTCCTCTCTGTGCAATGTGTACAGTTTTCCCATGCTTGATAGAAGCATATAACCACATGTCTTAAAACTATATTTTAGTGCAGAGACATCTAAATAATAAATCACTTTTAGCCCTGTGTTATATTGATTTATATTTTGCTTAAAATATTCCTAAACATGTAAACAGTTCTGCAGCTGACTGAATTGATACTTTTATGCCATAACCTTTTTCCAGTCATCAGACCATATTTCTTCAAAAATAAAATAAAACATCACATCCCACCATTTTGCAATCGCTTTTAAAAATCTTGTAAAAAAATATGTGGAAACTGAAAAGACATGAAGCAAGTAATATAGTCGATAAAGCTTAATAAAAGTGTATACTAGAATTAGATGACATAGCCTGCTGTTTTATCAGGTCTTTCAATTGCCACAGATAAATGAGAGAGTAGCTTTACTGCTCTTCATATGACAAATACAACAAATACAAGTCTTTCAGAGGTATTCAAGGCATCATATAGAAATAGAAAAATACAAGCTGAGTTTGATTGCAAAAACAAGCTCATTGGAGAACCATCAACGTTTTAAGTCCATTATCCTTTCCATAATATATCACACTGGATATGGATTGTTTATTCCCCTTTTGCCTGTTCATCAATCCCTTTGGTGAAAGAAATAACTTGGGTTGTTGAAATGCAAGGCGTCTATCCTCTCCTTCAGGCGCTGCTTTTCTTCTTCACTTTCTTCTTCACTTTCTTCTTCATTTTCTTCTTTACTTTCTTCCATTTCGCTCGGTGGGGGTTCTTTGTTACAAGGAGGGGCAAAGGTCACCAGAGCATGTCCTTCTGGAGGTGTTTGAGTGGAGGGTGCAGGCCGTGGAGAGTCACCGTACGGGGTGCTAACACTCATACTCTTGAGTTTAGACATGAACCTGTCCCTGTGTCTGAAGTGGGGGAAAAAAACTGTGAAAGGATTTGCTGAAGTTTTAAATCAAATGACTCCCGTCCATTTGGGATTATTTAGCTTTTGTTATAAATGTATCCATGTTTGTTTTACAGTAGGATCAACTATTTTAAACATATATTCATTACCTGAATATGAAAAGAGCCAAAATGACCGACAAGAAAGCAAATGAACCACAGGAGATCCACAGGATGTGATGTGACCCCTCGTCTCCACCTGGCATAGGTTCAGGAACTGCAGGAAAGACGGGAAGACTGTGAGAAATCCAAATGGAGATCAATAACATACATGCAAGTACGTTTGGGTGGAACTAAATGTATGTGTGTGAGATAGGTGTGTTGAGCCATGCTTCCTGTGGCTTGTTTCGCTGTCGTGCCTTAGTTATTATGAAGACATGGCTTCCTGTTGAAACCCAGTGGGGCACAGGGGGTTTTCAACACTAACAACATTTTAGAGTTCCCTTCCTCTCACTCTCTCAGCCCCCCTCCTCTCTTTCTCCCAAACACAATAAGCTAATTAAAAACATATTTTACTTTCTGCTATATTTCTTACCATCAGACAGATCCTCATCTGCACCAGAGCCTTCAGTGTATACTGAAAACTGTTAGAGAAGGTAACATAAGAGACGGTGTGAGATACTGGAGGCAGGACAACAACTGTAAGCATCAAAGTGTTAGGAGAGCATGATCAAAAGACACATTTAGACTGTTACCGTTGTGGCAGTGAGATCCTCATACTCCACTGACCGTTTTGCTGAGGAGAGAAACATCGATAAGGGATTAAATCAGAAAAACATATTGTACTGTAGAGTGCATTATTGCAGTGCATTCCCCAAAAAGTCAGACATATCAAATAGATATGAAGGATTTCAAGTTAAAAGAACAGAAGGATGTTAGAGAATATCCCGATAAAACCTTTTCTTAAGAGGTTTCACTTCAATGTCAAAAGTTGCATGGTTCAATTGAATTTAATGGGGTTTATTTAATTTGAAAAAGCATATATTCTTTTTAAATAATGTCAACACTACATGTATCCAGGATCCATAATACTGCACTCAAGCTGTGTATAAAGAGTTCACTTATTCAGAGTTTCCTCTAATAGAAGAGAACTAACATCCACACAATAGCCTCAGTTTATACTGTAGCAGCCAGAGAGGCAAGTGAGAAAATGAACATTTAAGGTATTTTTTTGTTGTTGTCTGATCTATTTTATTTTTCTCTTCTGTGTTTATAACTAAAGCCAAGGTGACAAAGTGTAAAAAGCAGCTGGCAGGTGAGGCTGAAGTTCACCACCGCTTGTTCCAAAAAGACTTAAAGCAATCAGGTCGTCTTCTTAGGTGAGTTTCCACATGCACTCTTAACACAAGGTATATATTGATATGTGGGCTGTTTTCACAGGTGGGAAAAACGTTTTATAGAAAAATTGAACTGGGAAAGCGTCTCTTCCACAAATATGAACAATTATCCAGGCAAAAAAAAGAAAAAAATGCTCACTTGCGTCCCAGGATTTTCCGTATCAGCTAATGGGAGGATCTAATTTTGAAATGGTTTGACTCAATGCTTTTATTCGGGATGTGTGTGTGTGTGTGTTTACCTGTCCAGCTGCTTTCATAGACGGGTGTGCTCCAGTCACTCCAGTGACCATCATACTCTTCCCTAGTCCTGAGCTGTATGAAGTATTCAACACCAGGCATTGCATCCCTTATAGTATATGAGCGTGTGCCCTTAATCATCTGTATCTAAAAAGCCAATTACAGAAAAAAAAACAGATAAATAAACAATGTCTTCACCTGAGTGTTAACTTGTTTAAGGCCAGAAGGCTATCAGTGTATTGATCTACTAAACTGTAGCAAGCAAACAAACACACAACATATGAAAAAAACTCTAGCATGCACCTGCCAATGATCAAAGGACTTGAGAGGTCGGTATTTGATCTCGTAGATTAGTTTATAAAAGCTGTCTTGAGATTTCCAAGAGATCGGAAAATTCCAGGTGACCGTTATCCTCATCTCCTGTCCCTCCTCCTGTCGGACTGACACCTCTGATGGAGGGTCAGGCTTCACTGAAGGAGCAGGAAGGAATAGAATGAGTGCTTTAATTACCCATACATTTCACCAAAAACACATATTGCGTTGACACACACAAACCTACATATGCTCAGAGGCATGAATGAAAGCAGGGAGCTGGTGGCGTTGCCTGCCATGCTTGTGACACACAAGTAGGCCATGTAATTGCTTCTTAGCTCGTCGTCATTGTGATCCAGAGCACACCAACAGCGGGAGTGCTTAGAGGAGTATGAGCACTGCAAATGAAGAAAGGACTTTGTGGCGCTGCGAGCAAAAAATGTAAAAGAAGGAAAGAAAAAAAAACAGTTTCACACACACATAAGATATAAAGACATAAATAACACAACTTCCTGTGGTATTATGAAACGTTTGTTTTGCTGTGGTTTAACATCATCCAGTGTGAAGTCATTCACACTGGATGATGTTAAACTGTTGCTGTTTCAAATGTTTGAACAGCAACATTTCAGCAAGCATATACTTTCATCATAAAGTGTCCCCATTTCTGGTTAACCTTTAATCTTATTCTAATAGATTAAAGAATGATACCAATTATTACTGTGGATATCACTTGAAAAGATCTCCAAGAGGGATACATTCCGATTATGTATAGCTCATCATATGTGTAATAGGGACCTGTTTACACACCTCACCTAATGTGATCTACAGGTTAGGTCAGGGGTGTCAAACTCTAAACACAGTGGGCCAACATTTAAAAATCGGTACTAGTCGAGGGCCGGACTGGTTCAATGTTTATTGCAAAACGTATTGAAAACTACTTAGTGCACATATTAAAGCTGGAACTAACAAGCTGAAATAATTGCCTATAAAAACAACATTAAACATTAAATAAATGAAAAATCAGTTGCTTTCTTTTCCGGAGTCATTTCTTATGATTACATCTTTCATTGTTGCATTGTTGTCATTGTTGCAAGAAAAAAAGTGCAAGAAGGAAACATCCATTTAAACTCAGTTTGCTGCTGTGATGCTAGTTCAAGCCAGATACTTGGCATCTCATCTTGGACCACCATGGGCCGGATTTGGCCCCCGGGCCTTGAGTTTGACATGTATGAGTTAGGTGATACAGGGTCTAAATATAAACGTTACTATTTTCTCACACATGTATAAGTTATTCAATATGAAATGATACTGTAAGTGTCTTTACCTTTTACTGAGGAAGAGGGAGCAGTTAGGGAAGATAGTGAAGGGCTTCTGAGGGGCCCACTCACAGCGAATCTTACTGCTGGGGGACTTTTTGTAGCACGACAGCTGGGGGGTCTCTGGAGGATCTAACAGAAGAGGGGCAATGATATTGTACATTATTCAAGTCATTCAGTCAGTTAATTGTTTCCTAATTATATGTTCATCAAAAATATGGTACAGTATAGTATAGTATAGTACGCTAAAACTAAAATGTATACAATTAAACTGTAATAATATTTCTGCTCAGCTAGAATGAATAATTCCCAGAGTCCAACATTAGACTTGTGTAAAACCAAGAAGCAAAAGCAAAAAAGTACCCATCAAAAGGGAAAATAAAAAGAGAAGCAAAACCAAAAACCTATTTAAAGATGTTTTAAATAATTGCCCTTACATACTTATACAGAAAGTATGCCATGTTGCAATGTCTTACTCACACTGTATTGTGTACAGAAAACCGCCACTAAGGTTAAACTTTTCGTTTTGTTTTCTCAATTAAGACAAATGAAAGGACAAATATGGCATGGATAAAATTGACACTCGATAACTTCAATCATCCGTTACAGCTTCATTGATGTTGTGACCTACCTGCGACCTTGACCTTTAGGGAGAACCTCTCTCTGCCTCTGTGGTAACACGTGAACCTGCCGGAGTCCGACAGTCTCACTGAGGACAGAGACAGTGAAGACCCTCTCCTGTCAAAGCCGATTCCACCCCAGTCCCTGTCTCCTTTTCCCACGATCCTCCCGTTCCACTTCCACTGTAGTCTCGGCTTCATGCTCCTTGTTACTCTGCTCCCATCCTCACCCTCCTGCTCCTCATAATCTCCAGTCTCCCAGACCGTGGGAGTGCTCGGAGAAGCTGTGTAAGCTGTTGCTGAATGTTTGAGGCTCTTGCTTTCTCCTGCCTCAGTCGTGTTAGAGTGGTATCCTTCACCCACAGTATTCTCCACAGTAGGTTTGGCACTTTTCATCAAAGCTTCAGTGTTCCTTATATTGTTAACAGAGGTTTGATTTTCATCAGAAGAACTCCTTCCTCTGACCTTTACTCCATCCGCCTCCACATGACCGCTGCAGCTCAAAACCAATTTACTGCCTTGATATAAAACCAACACACCAGGGGGAGGGTCTGCAAAAAAACAAACAAAAACACGATTACAGAGCTAATATAAACTACTCTGTGTGCTGGCTGTCTTGAATTGTGAATGTCTGAACTTGCTTTACGGAAGCCCTGAGAGGCAAATGCGAAAAACGAAACCATCGTTTTTCCTTTTAAGTCTAATCAAAATGATTTTCAGACTTCAGAGCAGGGGGGAAATGTTTGGCCAGGACAATCTAAATTTGAGGAAAGAACATTTGCAGGGTACTTTTTTCCTGTGTGTTGTTGTTATACTAATTTTAGTCAAAAGAGGCTAAAGTGCATCAGTAAGATGTTCTCCTTTCTTTTGTTTTTACTTTAATCCTTTTTTACATACTTTATCTTGATACGCCCTACCCTACATAACAGGAATTTGCTAAAACAAAAATACATCTAACAGAGTGCATGGAGCAATGAAAACCATTTGTATACCTGTGCCTCAGCTATTAACAAAGAAGAGAAAATCATTTGGATCTGTCTTAAAAATAGATTAGCAGATTTCTACTTAATTGCCTCTCAGGGCTTCCTTAATCTTTTGCACATAAAAAAGTGCTTTGCACAGCAAATATAGGATGCATTGTTGCATAACTAAAACTACTAACTCCTTTTGAACTTCCTCTTTTAAAGTGTCTTTTCTTTATGGTTTCTTTTTCTGTCCCTGATCATGTATCGGGTCATATCTCGTATTTACATCTCTGACACCCCCTAATTATGCAGATTTTGTGATTGCTCTCAAACTCAGTCATTTGCTCCTTCAGAAAGGCTATTCTGTATCTGTGTGTGTAAAGCCTCCAGATTGAACTCGACTGCAGTGTTTAGCAACTCATTCTCTTTGGTTTCTCTGACCTTTGTGAAAGTGTGTGTGTTGAGACTAGGTGGAGGAGTTAGGTGAGTCTGGGGTACCCTGTACATTTCTCATCACGTAGATAACTAATGTTTAGACACACTAGGTTAGCGGATTGTGGCCACCCCTGTATTCTGTTTTGTCCAATTCTGAGTAGTTTAGTTAGTGAGAATTTCTGTTTTGGTTTCAAAGGATAGATGTAGATAGGCCTGGTTTTGTTATGCTTGTTTCTTTTGTTTGGCACAATCTCCTTTGACTCCTCCTCACACACAGAGTATTTCTCTTCAATTTCTGTTCAGTTCAAGGGTTACAAGAAATAAACCTTTTGTCAACCTTTACGCTGACTCTGTCATTTTTATTGGTTGTTGTGTATTATTGTCTCCAGGTCCCCTAGACCTTCGTGGGGACGTAACACAAATACGAGAGTAGTTCATTGCCCTTTTAGTACAAACACACTCTTGTCCTTTACTTTGATTTGTTTGCCTTTTGCCTGTAAATCAGATATTTTAGAATAGAAGCTATACAGACAAGGCAGAAAAGCAAATTCACTAATGTATGAGCAGTGTTTAGGTTTATATATTTAGACTATAACATTGAATTTGCCTGATCAGCAATTAGGATAATTTTAGTGAAGATATGTTTAAAAAAGTAAAACCAACTACATCCCCTTCTTCCTCCAGTTTGAGTCCAGCTTAACAAGCACATTGTGAAAGCACATTTATAGTTCAGATTGGTGTGCAGAGTGTTGGAAGCACAATTATTGGTACATGCTGCTAATAGTTAGATTCCCTTAATTTAGATTGAATGATTTATAAATATGTTCGTGTTCTGTAAATGTGATCTGAAATCGACCTGTCAAATAAAAATGTTTACTAATTTGTTTTGCTAATCTATGCACTTTATGCTCAAGTGAAATCAAAGCAGGCTGCTACAGAGTTCAATTTAATCTGTCTAATCTTATCAAAATCAAATCAACACATAATGACAGTCTCAAGAGCTCCTGTGGGTTACATTGATGTTAGCAAACAAAAACACACACACATTGCTTTTAACACTAAAAAGGTTAGTTAGTGAGTTAGTAAAATGTTCCACTTTTCAAAGTATTTACCACACTGTTTTCGACGTCTCACCGATACCGTACAACATGTTTTTTTGGCTGTAAATTAAATCTGGTAGCTTACCTTTTTTGGGACAGGTCCCGTCGAAAATACCGTTGACCGGTGTGGCGCACAGGGCACACAGCAAAGGGAGAAAAATCCGCATTTTTGCGCACAAGTCTCCCTTCACCGAGTCCTCATACCATCACTCACAAACACTGGAGACCGTTGTGACCCCCATCTAACTTCACATGATCAACATCTGACGGTCCTCCTCTGGCTTCTCAAAGCAGTTACCGGCCGCCTCTGGTTTCAGCAGTCCGCTGTCAGTAAGACTCGTTATTGTGAAATCCCAGCTCTCTTCCCCTTGTTCAGCCTGTTGCACAGAGGAAATCCTCCTGAGTGTCAAAAATAAAACCCCAATGAAAGCTGAATATAGCCCTGCTATTATAATATTCATACTCAAGTTGTAATCAGTGGGTTTTTTTTAAATTCTTTTTTTACAAAACACTTTATTCTAATCAACAGACTAGGATATATTGTTTACGTTTTTTAGTCTTGAAAATGTATTTCAATTTAAAATGTCCCCTCCACCAGTAGACAGTGATAGTGTCACGATCTGTCTTTATGGTGTTTTGTCTTGTCTAGATCTGTTTTTGGTTTTCTGTCTGCGTTTTGTCTCGTTTAAATCTGTCTGTGGTTCCCTGTCGTTAGTTTCCCTGGTGTGTCTAATTTACCCAATTGTGTTCACCTGGTGTCCCTGTGTTTTCTCCTCCCTCCTCACCTGTGTCTTGTTTGTATGATTAGTCTTGTGTGTATTTAAGTTCTGGTTTTTCTGTCTGTCTTTGTCGGTTCGTCTTGTGTCATGACTAGTTCGTCGGTGAGTGTTCTGTTATGTCTTTGTTAGTATAGCCTTGAAATAAAGGAATTTTCACGTTAATCTGCATTTGGGTCTTACCTGCTTCACACACCGTTACATTACGAACCGACCAACAAATGGACCCAGCAGATGATCCATGGGAGGTAGAATTACAGCATTTTACCTTCTATCTGCTTGCTGCTTCGATTGGTGGAAGGGAGCGTCCAGTGTTCGGCAGAAGAGGGCCGCTCTGGTAGAGGCGCACCGGTTGGCAGCAGAGAAACTATGTTTTGTGGAGTTCTTATCTGACTGGATTTTGGACTTCCTTGAAACATGTGATTCCCGGCCTGCTAGCTCCATGTCTCCCAATTCCCAACCTGGCACCATACGCCTTGGTGGGTTCCGCCTGAAGTCAACCCGTGCTTCTGCCCCAGTTCCTGCTCCTGTCCAGGAGTCGTATTCCGGAACTCGTCTGGCTTATGGAGGTCCACGGAGTATTCAGGCGGCTGCCAAGAGGTGTCGTCGCAAGGCCAGGCTAGCAGCCCAGCCCCAGCAGCCATGGTTCCGGTTACATAACCGGCCCACACAGCCATGGTTCCGGCCCACACAGCCATGGTTCCGGCCCCAGCAGCCATGGTTCCAGCCCCAGCAGCCATGGTTCCAGCCCCAGCAGCCATGGTTCCGGCCCCAGTTCTGGCCCCAGCAGCCTTGGTTCCAGCCTTGGTCCTGGCCCCAGCAGCCATGGTTTCGACTCCAGCCCCTCGTCTCCGGCCGACGCCAGCTCCCCGTGTCCTGTCGGCGTACCGGCCGACTCCAGCACCTCGTCTCCTGCTGGCTCTCCAGCCGACGCCAGCTCCCCGAGTCCTGTCAGCATACCGGCCGACTCCAGCACCTCATCTCCTGCCGGCTCTCCAGCCGACGCCAGCTCCCCGTGTCCTGTCGGTGTACCGGCCGACTCCAGCACCTCGTCTCCTGCTGGCTCTCCAGCCGACGCCAGCTCCCCGAGTCCTGTCGGCATACCGGCCGACTCCAGCACCTCGTCTCCTGCTGGCTCTCCAGCCGACGCCAGTTCCCCGAGTCCTGTCAGCATACCGGCCGACTCCAGCCCCCCGTGTTCTGTTGGCGAACCAAGTCTCCCCTCCAGTTCCCTCTCAAGTCTCCTCTCGAGTCCACTCTCGAGTCCCCTTTCAAGACACTTCTCAAGTTCCCTCTCGAGTTCCCTCTCAAGTCACCCCTCCAGTTCCCTCTCGAGTCCCCTCTCAAGTCCCCTCTCGAGTCCCCTCTCGAGTCCCCTCTCGAGTTCCCTCTCAAGTATCCTCTCGAGTCCCCTCTCAAGTTTCCTCTCCAGTTCCCTCTTGAGTCCCCTCTCAAGTCACCCCTCAAGTACCGTTGGAGGTTCCACTGGGGGTCCTGCCAACCCTTTGTCCTGTCCCGTTGGAGGTCCCGCCGTCTACTCTCCTGCCGGGGGTCCTGCCAGCTCCTTGTCCTGTCTCGTTGGAGGTCCCGCCGACTACTCTCCTGCCGGGGGTCCTGCCAACCCTTTGTCCCGTTGGAGGTCCTGCCGTCTACTCTCCTGCCGGGGGTCCTGCCAATCCTATGTCCTGTGCCGTTGGAGGCCCCGCCGACTACTCTCCTGCCGGGGGTCCTGCCAACCCTGTGTCCTGTCCCGTTGGAGGTTCCGCTGGGGATCCTGCCAGCTCCTTGTCCTGTCCCGTTGGGGGTCCCGCCAACTACTCTCCTGCCGGGGGTCCTGCCAACCCTATGTCCTGTCCCGTTGGGGGTCCCGCCAACTACTCTCCTGCCAATCCTGTGTCCTGTGCTGTTGGAGGCCCCGCCGACTACTCTCCTGCCGGGGGTCCTGCCAACCCTTTGTCCTGTCTCGTTGGAGGTCCCGCCGTCTACTCTCCTGCCGGGGGTCCTGCCAATCCTATGTCCTGTGCCGTTGGAGGCCCCGCCGACTACTCCTGCCGGGGGTCCTGCCAACCCTGTGCCGTTGGAGGCCCCGCCGACTATTCTTCTACTGGGGGTCCTGCCAACCCCATGTCCTGTTTCGTTGGAGGCCTCGACATCACATCTCTCGCCGGGGGTCCTGCCAACTCCTTGTCCTCTTCCGTGGGGAATCTTGCCGACACCTTTTCCACCGGCTCTGGTTACTGTCCGGTCAACACCGGCTCCTGCCCGGTCCCCTGAGAGCTGTGGTCTTCGCCCCTCCTTGAACTCTGCCTTGCCCCCGGCTCTGCCTTGCCCCCGGGCAGTCCGCCCGAGAACCCCTCCTTGGACTCTGCCTTGCCCCCGGGCCGTCCGCCAGAGTCCCCCTTTTTGGACTCTGCCTTGCCCCCGGGCCGTCCGCCCGAGATCCCTTCCTGGTCCTCTGCTGTGCTCCTGGGCGGTCGGCTCTTTGTCTCGTTTAAATCTGTCTGTGGTTCCCTGACGTTAGTTTCCCTGGTGTGTCTAATTTACCCGAATGTGTTCACCTGATGTCCCTGTGTTTTCTCCTCCCTCCTCACCTGTGTCTTGTTTGTATGATTAGTCTTGTGTGTATTTAAGTTCTGGTTTTTCTGTCTTTGTCGGTTCGTCTTGTGTCATGACTGGTTCGTCGGTGAGTGTTCTGTTCTGTCTTTGTTAGTATAGCCTTGAAATAAAGGAATGTTCACGTTAATCTGCATTTGGGTCCTACCTGCTTCACACACCGTAACAGATAGTTTACTTTGATAAACTAGAGTTCAATTAAATACATTTGTATGTGATTAAACTTCTGTTGTTGAAAATAATCTCAAATTGCAAGTTATTTTGGTGCCACACCAGAGGTAGTCATTTATTTCTTGCACTTTGATTTCTTCTTTTGATTGATTCGGGGCTTAGCCCACAGATTATTAAGGTACGGGGCGCTACAGTGGACATGTCTACTGCAACACTCCCCACACGCACATACACAGTGCACCCGCGACTGTTACAATGAAGGCTCGAGAATCAGCTCACGGCATATGTGTAAACAGGGTAACCTCCTCTAGGGGGGTCCGGGGGCATGCTCCCCCGGGAAGATTAAAAAAAAAGTTAAAAGCATCAATCTGGTGCCCTTTGAGAGCAAAATTAAGAGATATGCATACATCTTTCAACACCCATATAAAACAGAACTGTAAACAGATTTTCTTTTTCTTTATGGATATTTTACAAATCACTCCCCTGTGACTGGGCTTCTAGCTTCATGTCGAACAGTAAGTCAACATTTTCCAGAGAGCTTTCTTTGAAAAGGTAACGCTAAAAAACATAGGCCTAACATTTATATTGTATGACAGTGTTTATTTAATATATCTGGCTAGCTATAGCTACTTGCTAACGGTTTAGCTTACCCCCGCGATTCAAAGTAACGTCAACGTAGCTGTAATTTATGCTTTGCTTACATGTTCACATAACTTGGAAGTTTACTTACATTTACATACCTTGTTTACCTGGCTCAAGTGGTGGCTCTGGGGTTGTTGTGTGAGCCACCACTTGAGAATTGTCGTCTTTTTTAAGACATTTGTTTCTTATGTCCATCTTTAAAAACTCCGAGTCCAACTGACAGTTTAAACATTGTCACAGGATAGACCTGTCAGCCAATAAGACAGATGTTTATTTCCATGCAACTCTCTGGTGGTTGGTCTGGTGTCTTGTCTCTGTTGGATTCACTGAACACGGAAAATTACAATCCTGCCGTCCTCTCTACTGTCATGATGAGGTTCAGGTAAAGCACGGTTAATATTATATTATTGAGGGAGAATTGTCCGGGGCTAAAGAAAAAAGCCCAGGCGTCACGCCTGATCTCACCCCAGTCATGGACAGGGGTCAGTGGTTGACAGGAACATTTGCAACACAGATGGGATGTCGTACTTGTTTTATGGATCAGGAAACAGAAAGAGTTTAAACGACCAAAATGTTGACATTGTTAAGGCATCATTATCCCAAAACACATTCCCTTTATTTGCGGACAGAAAAACATTTGCAACACTATAGGCTACTTAAGTGTACAATGTTTGACAAATTACGTTTAGATGTCTGTTAATGCCTACAGTAAGCAAGTGGTAGTTTGTTCTTTCTAGGGTGGTGAAATACATTTACATCAGAGGTAGGCTACAGTAACATGATCTGGCCCTTTGTCCGACAAATAAAACGCTTTGGCTTGCTTAAAGGTCAACTAGGCCATTATAAAACACATCAATATGATGCAAAAAAAGAAAAAACATGTGAAGTAGAGGTATATCAAGTAAAAAAACAGATACATAGGAAAAAAGAGTAACGTAAAGTACCGTTCTCACTGAGAACTATAGTGAACGTAAAGCTTTTAACAAAAAACAGTTCTACAGAAAATATTGCCCGCACTTCGCTGATTGAAAGTCTTATTGTTCTGCTCCTTCATTCTACCCATTGCTGATTAAGAGAGATTCTGCAGTGACTTGTTTGTGAGTGAGGCTAAACTTGAAATAACAAGTGGAAACAATCTTTTAGATCCTTAATAGTAAGTAATCTGTTATCGCATCTGCTGCTTTCCTTCAGTCGAATTCTTTAAATACCTT